CCCCCTTGTCCTACCACTAGAATCCCTAATGAAGAGTCCCTCCCCAGCATCCTTGTAGGCCTTCTTCAGATATTGGAAGGCTGCTCTGAGGTCTCCACGCAGCCTTCTCTTCTCCAGGCTGAAGAGCCCCAACTTTCTCAGCCTGTCTTCATACGGGAGGTGCTCCAGTCCTCTTATCATCCTCATGGCCTCCTCTGGACTTGCTCCAACAGCTCCATGTCCTTTTTATGTTGAGGACACCAGAACTGGACACCATACTCCAAGTGAGGTCTCACAAGAGCAGAGTAGAGGGGCAGGATCACCTCCTTTGACCTGCATATGCCCAAATATGAAGAAACTTCACCATTTGGAGGTACAAAGATAACAGAATAGGTTTAACTGGCCTCTACTGGACCCAAGTCAGAAGTACTTAAGCACCTTCTCCACTTAGAGGATATTATATTACAAACAGCTGGTAAAAAAGGTTTCTTTGGTTTTCAGAAAACAGGCATCTCTGTACAGATGTAATCAATCCTAGCCCTAATGATAGGCAACCTAAGTAATGGACTGGCCAGCAGAGAGGCAATCACAAAAACCCTTCCCACTTACTCATTATATTGTAGAGAAAAAAGGCTACTATCCACAGCACAGTTAAATCCTGTCTACTCTTCATAGACCATACCTAAATTTAAGATGCACCATTTAGATGTCAAGCTTTTCAGAAGCATCAGTCACACCAAATATCCTGAGAGTACTTCCTAGCAGCCTCACTGCTGACTACAAGCTATTGAACATTTTTCTCCCCAATTCTCTAACTGAACACTCAGGTATACACAGAATGTGGAATAAACATCTGACTATAGGTCATTATCTGATTCAAAGCTTCAATAAGTTGCTATGCATCAAAGGCTTCTCATCAGTTGAAAAACAGACTTCTGCTTTTTATAAGAAGGCTCTCCAAAAAGGCTCCATATGAAAGCACTTCTCTAAGCCATAACTGACATACTGAAGCAGGCAGAGCTAACTAGTTAGAGAAAATCACTTACTAAATGCTGAAAATAGCTCCCATCTACTAAAAACTCTCATCTGCCTTTTCACTGTTACCTTTCCTGGGTTAGATTGTGTTTCCTCTTTCCAACTATTTCCAAATTGTTAACTTTTTTCTCCCAAACTCCTCGCTACCTCAACTCCTGCACACTAAGACAACATATAATGAAACTACACAGAAGTGAAGGGATGTCTTAGATCAGAAAGGTGTTCCTCCCTAGCAGAGATGCTACACAGCTGCATGTGCCACTAGACTCATTCTTACCCTGGTCTGAAATTCAGCTCACCACCTTGATACATTGAGAAAATTCAGTTACTTGCATTCCACTATGATTCTGCTTTCAGCCTCTTCTGGTGTATCAGGTGACTTACTACCTTTTAGGGCAGTAAGAGAGGCTGCAAGCAAAATATTTTCCTGTCAAGAAAGAGATACTAGCTTCATGTTCTTGAACAACATACTCGTCCCCCCCCCAAGCCTGTCTGAAGAATGAGATGTAAATGAACACAGAACTAACCACTTGTCCAAGCCTAAAGAACCCTGCTTGGTGAATTCTCAAGTCAGCACACAAACACTCACCATACCATATCCTCGATGATTTGAGAGAACTATGTATACTGAAACACCAGGCTTATGACAGTAGATAAACTTGGACATAGATTTGTAAAGTTTCAGATGCATGTCAACCCAGACTAATATAAAAATTCCATGGATAACTGCAAAGGCTCGGACTGCTTTCCACCTAAAAGGCAAGTAGCATGAGGAAAAGTTAACAAGCTGGAAATAGTTACATGAAAAGATGGAACACAAGCTAACCCAGGAAAGGTAACAATGAAAAGGCAGATGAAGTTCTTAATAGACTGAAGGTCTGTTCAGAAGCAAGAATAAACCAGCCACCAGCTTTAGTCATACTGACATGATGAGATTTAATTGTTTCAATACGGCACAGCAAAACAGCAGTTTATTCAGAACAAGTGAAAAAATGCTGTGCAAGGAAAAAGCAGCACACTGGATTTAACTTTGAATTTCCATCTTTGAGACACTAAGAACAATACCTATGAGTAAAAAGCAACTTGGGTTAAAGATCTTTCACCAAAAAAAAAAATAAAAATCCCTTTAAAAAGTAATACTTCCAATACACAGCTCTGCTCAAAACATGGAATTCAACTGTTAGAGATCACCTCCTCCTTCTGTTAGCCTCCTGCTCCCCCAACCTCTTCCATTGCTTCCCCCTCTCAGCTACAGACCTGAAAAATACAATCTCAGTCATAATGCTAATCTCATCTCATTCCCAGAAGACTGATCACAAAACCTGAAAATTATCTATGCACCAGCTATTTTATCGTATGACACAGCTGCACATTTAATAAACCCATACTTTTTCTACTTCGGTACTTTGCCAGAGCAAGCAAGAAAAACCTCAAGTGGAAAAGACACTTAGTCAAAGACTCTTCACTCTGATTTCAGCTACATTGTAGTGAAGAAATAAGATCAGTGAAGTCACATTACTATATACAACAGTAAAATAAAAGCACAAAGTCAGCATTTACCATTCAGCCCCACATACACCAGCAGTGCTCTGCAGACACCAGTATCACAGTATTCTCACGTATACCTGTAACACTTCTTTGGCTACTGAGTATATTGAGTCTTTTGGGGTTTTTGACTGTTCTAACTGATCCCCGTCAGTGATAAAGGCCTCATTAACTTTCAGCCCACCTCCAAACATATTCTCAGGGGGCCCTATTCACAATAGCTACACATCATGACCTAGGTAAGCCTTGGAACTCAAATTCACAACTTCTCCATGTAAGAACAGGAAATGAAATCATTACTCTCTTAAGGAGAACATGTATCGTGGAATCTGCAACAAATACATAGAAGTTCTCATCTGGAAATAGAATTTTGTCTCCACTCCTTTAAAACATCCCTATTTCACACTCATCACTAGCAACAGGCATCAAGAATTGGATCTGGTTTTCTCCTTACCAGAAAAGAAAATGTTGAATATAAACACTTCTGTTTGGTCCTGCACTCTTCAATTATTTATCTTCATCTGATTTAATTGGGGTTTTTTCCAAACTAGCTGTTAGATACCCTAGCTAATGAATCGAACACATGCAGGTAAATGACATCACTGAAGGACGACAAGAGAGAATGAGAGCAATTAGCACCACAAAATTAAATGTTAAAACCTTCTAGCAATAAATCTATAGAAAAGCCTACTTAAAAAGCACAGTGTGCTTAAAGAAAAAACCACCACTTTTTTACCCTGCCAGTAATGTTGGCAGTAAAGAAGACTAAAACCATTTTAAACACAATTTGAAAATCCAACTTAGCAAAAGTTTGTGTAAAGTTTCTAATGATTCCGCTCATCAAAAATGCTGACAACTTGAGCTAAAGAAGTCTCCAATGCTATTGATTCAGGAGAGAGTAGAGAGTAAAACTCTAAAGCAAGAATACCTTGTGACTAGGTAACAGAAAGTACATGAACTGAGATTTCTGATAAGCTCCCAAGTTCCTAACAATGAAATGGATCAAGCAAAACCTCTCCATCTAAAACCAGAATTATCTTTAAGTTATTAAACTGATGAAGATGGGCTTTTCTACATTTTGGTTCAACTTTTATGGCAGCCACACAGAGAGCTGAACATGGACCAAGCTATTTTTAAGCAGTAACTCAGAAGCCTATTACTATATTTCAATAGGAAACATTGCTGTGGCCATTTGAATTTCTAACCAGCAAATTTACTATATTTAACTTTATCAGAATTTCTGCAACTTAAACCAGCCCTTCTATTAACAAAGCCAGTAACAATCCTCCCTCTTGCCTTTTAAATGGCTTCATCATTTTAAAGGAAACTGGTACTCAAGTTTCAGTGTTTTAACATTTACTTTAATAAACTATATGGATGCTTGCTTTTTGCATAAGCAAGAGACACATTTTAGTCACTTAACTAAATCAGCACTTCTTTTGCCACAACTTACTAAACCTTCAGCTTTATGCTAACACCGATACAAAAAAAGCTTAATTCAGTACAAGACAAGAGCCAAAACAAAATCACCAATCTAGGAGAGAGGAATATTAACCCATCTGAAATATTTAGTACCACTGAAAAAAATCACCTGAATATGCACCCTCAAAACAGAGGGCTTTCTTCTGGTCATAGCATCTATAAAAAATCTAATAGACATAAATGAGGTTTAAAGAATGACCATAACACGAACATGAAAAGTTTCCCGTGCAATAGGAATAAAGACAGTAAGATGCTCATCCTAGGAAAGATACATGAAAATGAATATGCAGCATGCTCTATGACAACATAGTTCTCTCTGCCTCTCATTCAAAAGCAATGCCTAAAAAGATCTTCCATTATAATTCCATTATACTTCAAAATACGGTTTAAACCGTGAAAGTTGCTGCCACATGAACTGAGTAAGAGAGCTCAGCAAAATTCCAGAGGAAAAACTGGGTATTTACTTTGGATAATACTGAAAGCCTTAGGAGAAGCAATTAACAAGAACAGGTGCTGGCAAGGATATAAAGAGAATTCCTTCAAGGCAGAAGATAACTTCTAACTAAGGGAAAACTGAGATTTTTTTGTATTTTCCTCTAAGCAAGCTATTTGACAAAGAGCTATTATTACATATCTTACACTTTCCTGACTGAAACAACAGTCATGATTAAAGACAGAATATTGGACTAGACAGCACAATACTCTAACTCAATATTGCAGCATATTTTCAAGCTTTAAAGAGAGTTTCGTTCTTTTCATAATGCAAGAAGTTACCAGAAGGCAGACTATTCAAAACAGGAAGCTTTTAGCCAACAAAAGATCATAAAAGAAAACATTTAGGCATAGGAAAAAAAAAAAAGCCTTTTAATACTCGAAGTACTACATACCAGTTTTGTGGGAAAACAAATCTACACACACAGGTTATATGGAAATTCACAACTATATGCATAGCTACTTACCTACTACTAGCCCACACTCGGAACAGATCATATCACCAGCTCTGTAATCCTCTACTAAAATGGAATCTGGATGATTTGGGCAAGTCACTCTTGGAAGTACATCCAAGCTAAAAATGAAAAAATTAGAAGCATTTGTTACTTTTAATCAAGCAGGCTGCATATCCAAAAGTGTAAGAGTTCCTTGCTGAAAGGAACACTTTAATAGTACAGAATTTACAGTCATTTATAACCTAAACACCTTAAAACTTCACCTTTTAAATGCTGTAACACTATATTTGACAATCAAGACTTCAGGTCACCTTAATTTCCAAATTTCTTGTGATGCATCCTTGTACCAAAACCACTTCAATTTAAAACATCAAAAATCTAAGTAACAGGACTTGATTAAGTGCAGTCTGACTTGCAGTCTACCACTACATGAAGCTCCCCAAGATGTTAGTGGTGACTACTTCATTCCAAATGAGCTTTCTCACTCCTTCCAACCAGATCAGCATTACTTACCAGGTCCTTAATTCAGGAAGCAGTGCACACACAACATACATGTTTAGAAAATAGCTGCTTCTATCACTGGTTTACTGTTTTCAAGTATTTGAAGAAAAAGGCCCATTTTAAATTAAGCAATTCATTAATTGTGAGATCTTTACAAAACCCAATCAGCTCATGAAGGGGATTATGAGGTGACTGCTCTGCTAACAGGGATCTCTTTCACACTCATGCATCTTTAAGAATTACAGCAGATATACAAAAAACTTCATATAAAGCATTAGCACTGTTTAACACAACAGCTTTTAGTTACTCAGTAGGGGGATAACCAAGTATTTTAAAAGCAAACACCTCATTCAAGCTACCAGTGACTCTTCAGTAATTCTGCTAAAATCAGTAATTTCAAAACTGGAATAAATCAATATTTACAATTGGTGCCCATATATTCCTCTAAACCATTTTGCTCAAGCTAAAAAAGCAGAATGCGCAGAGGTTGATCACCAAAAATTTGTCATGAGCACCCACCAACTTCAATCCGATTGTGCCAAAGCATAACTTCTAATCCATTCAACTGCAGAAAGTATCCTATCAGAAGTTAGTCACCTGAGTTCTCCCCTTCCCACTAACCCATTATTTCAACCTAATCTATACATTCCATCTGAATTTTTACTCTTTCGGTATTTCTGATGAGTCGAAAGTACAAAACCACCCCAAACATTTTAATCCAGTGAGTGTTCAGAAAGACTTGAAAGGAAAATTGAAAATCAACATCACTATTAATAACAAAGCCTCCAGAAAGAACATGTACACACTAGATCTTCAGATGTAAATTACATCCAAATACTACACAGAAGCTCTTTAAACTACTTTCCTTCTCACTATTCCCAGCCAGTAGCTTCATGACAAGAAAACAGTTGACAAAGCATGCGCCATCATCTGACATCTGGCCTTATGCCAAAGGCTAGTGACACACTAAGCAAAAGAAAACAAATCCAGAAGTCTGGAAAAAAAACTAACAGTGTCTGGGTTTAGTCATTACCTTCACGAAACACTGTGAAAGTAAGTCCTCCTATCCCAATTTTAACTCGCTTATCTAGACATATATGCTGTACTCCTTACAACACACAGCTTCGATATACTAAAGGAAAATGAAGGCATTATACGCAGTTCAATACACTGAAGGAAAACGCACGGCACGTGTGTAAAAGTCCATCTCAGCAAATAGCTCACGCGTTGTTATGAGACCACCAGGAAGCACTCCCAGATCCCAGGACGGGTGCAGCAGGAGTCCTAAGGGCACTCCCGCTCCATGGGCCTCCCTTCATTCCCGACTTGAAAGAAAACCTCGATACGTCTCCAGGGAAAAAGCCCGAGACCCAAACTCGACAGGTTTGGCCACTGCCTAGTGCCGGTACGGATTTAGGGTGAGAGCCTAAAGGCTCTTTTCCGGACCCGATAACCTGAAGCCAAGCCAGGGAGCAGCCGCCTGGGCTCAGAGGCTGTGCTGACCGCAGGGGGCTCCGCGCCCAGGCAGCGCCCACCCGGCCCGTGGGACGCGGAGGAAGGCACTCGATCTCCGGCCTTGCGGCACATCACCAGCCCAGCCGAGCTGGG